GGCTTTGGCGTTATCACGGTCCAGGTTATTTCAGTTGGAACAAAGTCAACAATGGAACAAATGATGCTGCTGAAGCCGTGTCAACTGAAAAAGCCACTGTTGAAGAAGAAACTCTACCTGGTTTTGAGAAGGAAAACAGTGAAGCTGTTAATGAAGCTACTACCACTAATGGGACATTTTCTGATGGAACAGATGAATCCCATGTGAAACAGAAGCCAACATGACGAAGATCAGTACGAAATAAGAAGCGTCCTATAAAATTAAGAGACTTTGTTGAATTTTAATTTTTGTGTTTGCAAATTCTGTACATTTAATTAAGTTATTGTTAATTATCTATTGGTGTAATGTAAGTGGCTATTGTTCGGGACGAACAATACTAAGGAATGGGCAGTGTTACGTCAGTGGAAGTCGCATGATGCTGGGGTTTCTCGAATTATCGGGGAGCCCCACGAATGTCTGAGTGTTTGCTAGACACCCTATTTTTTAGTATATAAGCCTGGCAATAAAAGTCAACGATATATAGATAGATATAGATAATTGAGTCAACCGAACGGTTGTGACTGTGGAAATTCTGTGTATTACAAAGTTGTATCGAGAAAGAATAAACTGGTTTTAATTAAGAAAGGACTTGTATAGCTGAAGTTCCTCAGAAAGAATTTATACCAGAAATTAACAAACAAGCAGATATGTAACAATGTGTTAACTCACACATCTGTCTTTTCACCTTCTCTATCCATGAACCTCTTGATACTTAGATTAACACAGCTGTATCTTCTATTCACTGGAAATCATACTCTAGTAGCACTGCATTTGTGAGTGTTTTTAGACAAGGATATCTCTATATAGTCTTGCAAAGAGGATGAACATGATGCTTAAACAGGGTATAAACTTATGTGATTACTTAACTATAAAGGTGCATATACTGATTAACTTCACATGTGATACATAAAATATAGCCTAAAGTGGCTCAGCAGTAAGTTAGCAAGACTTATAATGCTAAAAACTGGGTTTTGATACCCATAGAGAGCACAATACAGATAGCCCATTGTGTAGTTTTGTACTTAACAACAAGTTTAGGAACAAAAGATATTCAATTACGAGGAACCCACTTTAAGATTAATAATGCTTGAAGGTGGCTTGATAATGACAAAACCTTGTCAAAACGTTGTACATTTGATGTTATGTTAAACTTATATTAAAGTTTTTCTTCATTACCCATTCAAGCCGTCTCCAACCATTATATTGGCAATGCGTCTACTTTTCGGTTTCGGTTACGAATTTTATTTATTTTATTTATTTTTTTTAGTATATGTTTCATCATTAGCATTGCCAAGATTTATATAAGTAGTTTTAAAATCATAGCAAATTATCATACACAAAATATAATTATAATTCGTTGCCTTCTCATACAATATATAAATTTCACTGAGTAACTTATTGGATAAGCATGAAATCTTTCCTGAATATGAATATATTTTCAGACCTCAAAAATTAAAAGAGCCTTTTTGTTTATTGTGACGATAATGGCGAGAAGTAGGCTTACGTATAACTACGATTACGAAGCAAAACAAACTGCTAATGCATTTGCAGATGAAAACCGTACTACTGATACTAGTACGAATATAGATTTTGCTGGACTTAAAAACTTAGATGATGTAATTAGTGCTTATAACGAAATATGTCGAGAAGAGGTAAGTGCATCATTGAATCAGTGCTAACTTTTTCGTCTAACTTCCAAGGCTATTCCTCGCAATATAGTGGTACTGCGGTTGTGACACTGACAAGACACTATAGAATTAGAATGTAGAAAACTTTATAGTTATACTAATAGTAATAATAGTTGGTACTACTTGGATCAGGCCTTAATTTATGATAACATCAACCCATCTAAATGAAACTGAAAGTATAACTAGGCATTAAAATTAATTTGCCATTGCAGTATATACTATTCTGCTAGTCACTAAATATATTGTAATTTGTAGTAGATTAAAAATAAATCGGAAAACTGAAAGAAAGGAACTAAACATTTATTTTCACTTTCAGTGACATTTTGTATTGCATCTAATTATTTAAATGCTTTATCTCATTCTGGTATAGGTTTGAATTTAATGGGTTTTAAATGCCATATTTTATACATTTACATACAGTTCAAATTTACTAGTGGTTCTTTCACTGTCAGTAGTACAACTGTTTGGACTTCTGTTGGCCCATACGTTCATTTGTCCTTTCAGTATGTTCTGTGTTAGATGAGCAATATTTACATTTTCTTTTTAGGATAAAGCTAAAAAAGAGCTGGAAAACTTACTTAATCAGCAACCTCATTTGGAAGCCAAAGTTATGTCTCTTCAGAGAATGCTGTATGTATGAAAAGTTTGTATTTAATGTAGTTCTTATGAGTAGTTTAACATTTTTTTATAAAGTAAATCAGTTCTAGAGAAAAATGCTCTTTATAAAAATTTTATTTGGTCAAATACCCTTATTTTACCTACCTGTGGAAGCTAATTTTTGTAAAAACAATATCAACACAAACTTCATTTTAGATAGAAGTTTAAATAAAATTGAAACACATGCTAGAATGTTTTATAATCACATTAATCATTTAGTTCCAGATTGAAAGAAGTACCTTCAATCTCAACTAAATAAAAATTACATTTGTTAGCAAACACTCATTGTGCTATCTACAGCATAACAGTAATCAGTATTTTTTTAACTTTTTTTTTACTTAAAAGTTTTATAAATACGTGTTTATTGTATGTTTGGTCAGGTTCAGATAAAGCATTCTTTTTAATGTGCATTGTAATGAGAGGAACTCAATTCTCTAATATATCTAATATTGAGTTGTAATAGAATAATTGTGACAATGTCATATAAAAAACTCAAAACACACAAACTTAAATATTAAACTAAAATTCATGTAATTTAGACCTCTGTTTTTTGTCTTTACTTGTTTTTACTGTATTTAGTGTACTGCTGGAAATAAAATCAGTGGTTTAGTGTTTTATTTATCATTTAGTAGTTTATTTAATTCTATTATATGTCTAATAAAAACACAATGATTCAAATTTGCTTGGAATTACCAAAAACAACCTAAGTTAAAAGACTTATACTGGTTCTTCTTGAATGCATTAGTAACAGCAGAATGCTTGGAAAATCCATATTATTATGTGACTATTTATCATTACATTTAGGCCAAACCTTCAATTAGTTCATACAGATGCCAAACAACTATCTAGTATGGTGGCTTTCACCTCAACATTAGCAGAAAATATAAGTAGTAAAGTTAGACAGTTGGATTTGGGTAAGGTATGTCACTCTTATTATGATCACAGCTAATTAAGTTAGTACTAAAATTTGCTAGTTGGAAAATTCAATATTTGGAAACAGTAATGTTACCAAGAATTATATGTGTAAGAATTTGAAAACCAAGAAAGATTTAAACTACTCTAGAACTGTGTATGCATGTATAGTAATTAAAAATATAATATAATAATGTAAATAAAAATTTTGTTTGCAAAAAAGGTTATTTCATGGTTTTGCCTTTTAATATATTATAAAGGCAAGGATGTATATTTATATATGGTTAAAAATGGACAAATATAGAGTTATTTTGGTCAATGCAGTTATATAGTTTAGGTTATGTTTGATTGACAGAAAATCTTAATCTGATTTTAGAGTCGTGTTAGCGAATGCATGCAGAGAGTTGAGGATATATTGGACTTGAAGTTCTGTACTGATGGAGTGAGTACAGCATTAGAAAATGAAGATTATGAACAGGTAGAGTAACATTTGACTATCTTGATACACTTGTCTCGCTAGCCCAAATTCACGAGTATATCATGAACATAGTGTTTAAGGACAACAAGGTACCTTTTGGTTAATATAGGCCATCCTATCCAATAAACTAGGCTTAAAGAACAACTCGGAGCCAGCCCTTATCATTTAAATATTTATCAAGCTTTCTTTAAACTCCCTTAAATTACTGCATTCACCACCCATAAAGGTAACCCAATCCAAAGGCCAACCACCCTTTTAGAAAAATAAAACTGTCTTAGCTAAGGTTTTATTTTTAATTTTTCTGTTTAAGAGTCTCTTTCATTTAGTTCATATTTAATTGTTTAACAGATTGTATGTTTATAGAATTACCAAGTTTCAGTGGATTATAAGTAAACTTAATTTTAATAAATCAAACTTTCTATTATTTATTATTTTTATTATTATTCTATTATTTCTCTTTAACATGCTTTAGGCAGCAGCTCATATTCATAGGTTCCTGAGTTTGGACGAGTCTGTGTTGAGAAGGTCTGCTGCAGATAGTAATGAAGGTAAAACATCATGATTGAATAATATGTTTAAGTGATATTTTGCTTATTTTCTAAAGTCGTGATTAAGCTCTTGTCCTTAAATCACAAAATAGGGTGTTTTGTAGTTTTCTTTGTTTTCATTTGAAGATTGAATAAAGAAATAGCTATATTTGCTCTAAATCCAATCATACATTTCTACTGTATGATGAGGAATCTTAAGTGTGCACTTTATTTTGCTAAGAATTAGGATATTTTCATTATTTTTTATGATTTTCTGTAGTAAGTATCAAGTACTTTATCCGGTTTTAATTATTTTTGTACAGAAGTTTTAAGAGCTTATTATTTAATCCCATGTTTGTTAGTTTTTTGAATCTGTTGAAAGTTATGAATGTTACTGCCTTTTGAAGGAAGTAGCTTGGAAGAAGCTTTCTCCAGGCTTCATGAAGCTGAATTCAAACTGAAGACTATAGTCATGCAGAAGTTTGATAAAGCAGTGTGTGATGGTGATGTGGCTTCAGTTGAGCGTTTCTTCAAAACTTTTCCACTCCTGAACCAACATACTGAAGGATTGAAGAAGTTTTCTACCTATTTGTGTTCACAGGTGTGTTTTGTGCTTGTTGATGTTTTTATTTTTAATGTTCCTATATGTGCTTTATGCATATATTTCCCATATGCTAGTGTTTTTTCAAAGAAGGACAGGTGATGAACATGTTAATCTGGAATGCACATACCAAAATAAAATAAAATAATAAAGCTGTCAGGCATAAAAACATTTATTGACTGTTTATTTATATATATACTTTCTAAACTGGCATCAAGAAGCACAGTTATTTAGCTCTAACATCAGGACTGTAAGGATTACCAGCAAAATGTGTATTAGACAATAAACAGCCATTAGTGAGTGAAGCATTTTCTGATACGATAAATTACCTCCTCTCACAGATATAGCTATTCTTGTTCAGTGCTGCCCTCTGTATGCAATTTTTTCACATGCTTTGCACTCCCACGTTCTCCACGATCATCATGGTTCAACTGCATCTCGCATGCAAATTATCATGCAACTACCTTCCACCAATAGGAGTGCGACACACCTTTTTGACGTATGAGACTCCTATTCGATTCTACCAAACTATCACTTTTTGTTTGGCAGTGCTATTATCAAGATATTTTTTTGTTTGTGCTCTCTTCCCACATTTTTGAAAATTTCATAGAAAATGGAAATATTTTTCTTTTCTTTTTTTCTATGGGTTTACTCCACTTTAACAGTTTTAAGAGATAATTTACCTTTATTGTTCTTAACTTTTTTTTATATTTTTACAGAAGCTTATGTTTCCACACAGAATTCAGGTGGCGGTATTTGACTGAGGAATTGTTGGCTTTAATTTGTCGGGAGATTAATCGTTATATGAGTTAACCTTCACTGGGCCTTGGGTTTGGGAGCCACACATTTTGAATATGATTCGCTGACTTCAGAGAGATAAACTGTAATACTGTTATAGATTTTTGAATATTTTTTTTATATTTATATTATTATTTGTAGTTCTTTGGGTTCAATAACATAAGTTAGATTTGAAAATACTTTTGTAAGGTTAGGATTTTAAATAAGAGCTTAGTGATATTCTTTGTACTACAATGTTAGATTAGGCTTAACAAGTGTCTTTGTTATTTTAGGCTTACCTGTAATTCATCTAACTGGTAAATCATAAATTAGGTTAAATATATTGTTTTCTTCAACACATACCATCTAATAAATTTGTTATTGTTAATACAAACTTGCTTACTTTTACAATATAATGACTATTTCATTTTTATAATTATTTATATTTTATACTTCTTACTATTAATTTAGTTTGTGAGGACCCCTGGGTCCAGGGTCTGCCCTACCTTCTTCTCCCAATATGGCTTGCCTTCCTCCTAAAACTGCCAAACCTGTTTGGGATGACGTAGATTTTGACAGTTTTTCTTCATCTGATTATGACATACCTTCCCAGACCTTTACAGTGGAGTTTTCTAGGCCTACCTCAGGCCCTTTTTAGACATGTTTCTTAGTATTTCATTCCCCTCCTTCTCCAGATTTTATGGTTCATGCTGAGCCTTTTTGTCCCTCGTTTGAGAGAGGGTGCTTGCATGCCTCACCCTCCATGGACTTTGGTTCATTTTGCCGTAGGTTCCCATTAGGCTGATTGTTGCTGTTTTTTCTTGATTCTCTGCAATTAGAATCTCTGTTGCCTGTATGGGGTCAGATTCTGATAATCCTATACTTTTATTCCTTGCCACATTTTCCAGCCTTCATCTTACCCTTTAGACTCTCCTACAGGAATTGTCCACCATACACCTCCTTTCTGAGGCATTCCACTTATATTTTGGGGATTTTTGTGAGATACCTTCCCCCCCCTCCTTACCTCTATTTTGGGGCGATTGCCATCTTCGGCTCTTTTCTTACACACGTTTGGGATATTCTGTGGTAAACACTGACTTGTAGCAAGTTCATTTATCATCTACTTCGAATTGGGACTTACGAACGACTCTTTTTATTCACCAGTCATTTGTTTTTTGGGGGGTGGGTACTTCTGTGACTTTAGCATCACGTGGGGTGTCTGTGATGCAACATTACTTTTTTTCTTTTTTTGGTTGTTCGTTTGTGTCATTCTGAGCTGTTGCAATCTTTATTTATGTTCCATGTTCTGCACCTTCCTGTCATTTACCTGTCCTACCTCTAAAGATTCCTCCATTAGTCGTGTATTCTCGATGTAGATTGGAGTTCTGTGATTGATCTGTCCCACTTCAATTACTTATTTGTTCTTTCTCATTTTAATATGTTGTCTTTTATCACACTCTGGTGGGCAATTTCTCCAGGACTAAGGATGACCAAAGTAGATGTTTCATATTCTGATACCCATCTTCCTATTTTTCATCTCTCATGATGCTATCTTAAGTTTCTTTACTACGGGGTTGGGTACAAGTTTTATGCCTTTCCCTTCCAGCTTGTTTTGGATCCGTATGTCTTTTGTCGGCTGGTCAGAGTTTTACCTGACTTCAGCATGATGGGGGATTGTACTTACACCACAACCTGGTCGTCTGACTTCTGTTAGCTCACTCTGAACTGGGGTTGTCACAACATACGCATCTGCTTCTTACACACACACAGCTCTGATGGCTGGAGAAGTCTTTCCCACTACCTACCTAACAATTTTGTCTTTGTTGGGCATCTTTTTCAACACCCAACTCTGTCGGGCCCATCCTTTTCCTCTTTGACTGCATTTGAAGGTGCTTTCAGTTATCCATACCATTTCTGTTAACTATCTTACCATGTTAACACCCAGGAATGTCTGGCAGTCCAACATGTTTTGGTTCACTTTCCTCCTCTTATCAGGATTCGACTAATCATGACCCATTCCGACAATTTGACGGTGGTGGCTTATAACACTCACCAAAGGGGCACCTATTCTAGTTCCCTTTGTGATCAACCTTGGATCTCCTTTTTGGGCCATCACACTTTACATACATCTCGTGGCATGTCTTGTTCTGGGTGCTTTCAAATTCGTTGTGAATCACCTTTCCAATCTCAATACACTTCATCCCATGGAGTGATCTCTCAATTACTCTGCCTTTAGTGGGGTACTCCTCAGAAGGAAGCATATACCTTTTTCGTCAATTCCAAGGTACCTCTTTTTTTTTTTTGTTCTCCCATTCCTCATCCACCCACCCTGGCTGTTTATGCATTCAGTCAGGTTTGGGAGCAGTTTATACCTTTATTTTTCTCATTTCATCCCTCATCTTCCCTGGGTGATTTTGTTCATCCATGCCACTCCGTGTCAGGTATTTCTAATTGCTTCTTCTTGGCCTGCACAGGTCTGGTTTTCTGTGCTGCTTCAGCTCCATTTGTTTTTTTTTTTTTTGTTATGGATCAATTTTTCCTCACCTACACTTTGGCAGCTCGGGTGGAACGTTCTTCCTTTTTTGTCATTTTCTTTTCCTTCCATCTACCACTTTTATTCCCAGTGAGATCTGGATGGCCTTCTCTGTTGTGTATATGCTCTTGGTTGCTTCATTGCCTTCAAGGCTTCTTTCCGTTGGTTTCCTTTCCACCAGTTTCATTTCCTGGTACCACTCCTCTCTTTGTGACTTTTTTTCCTTTTTCCCTTACCACTTGGATTTGGCTTTTGATTCCCATTGGTTTATTCTTCCTTGTCTCTTTTTTCCCATAATCCATTCCTGGTGTCTTCACTCTGATTAGGTGCCTTACATTTTATCTGCATCTTAACCCCATTGTACATTGGAGGTATTTCTTCCATTGAGCACTGGGATTACACCTCATATGTTCATCTCCCATTATCTGCTTCGGATAGCTGTTTCTTCCTCATCAGGGTACCATCTTCTACCTGTTGCCATCTTTCACTCTTCATTGAGACTGTGACTGGTTAAGTTACTTTTTTTATATATATACCTTTTATTTTTCAGGGACATGTCCCTTTTTTCTTCAAGGATCCCATTCTGTGGCTTGTGTTGCTAGTCCAATCTGCAGTGTAAGGCCATGATGACGTAACACTTATAATTTCCATAACCACAAAACTTACACTGTTGAGATGGGGTGTTCCACAAGTTCGCTTATAGGTTTTTTCCTCATGATATATTTGCTTCATTAATATACCCGTTCTGGACCGTACTAACCCATACAACTTCATGGGTAAAGCATAAGATAGCTGCCCATCCCTGCCATTCCT